ATCCATGATGGAAGTCTGAGGTCTTCTCCTTTCACCTCCTCCACTCCGACCATGACCAACACAGGTGCTGCACTGATGGCCGCCCCCAGCCACAGGCAGCCAATCAGAGCTCTGGTTCTGCGCCGTGTCACCGTGGTCTTGGCTGTGATTGGCCAGCAGACGGCCACATATCTCTCCAGGGAGAGGAACGTGATGTGGAGGATGGTGCAGAAGGTGCAGCACTCTGAGAGGAACATGGTCAGCTTACAGGTCAGGTCTCCTAACAACCAGGGCCGGGGCCTCCAGAGCTGAGGGGGAGAAGGAGGGAGGGGAGAGGGTGAGGAGGGGGGGGGGGCATCTGGACCAAACATCTGGACCAAACATCTGATCTTCTGACTTCCTCTGGTCGACAGCTGTTGCCACGGTGACCACATGTACACAGCCAATCAGCCAATCACAGCTGGTAATTCACTCTCCTCACCCCCAGTGCTGCCCCCGGGCCACGCAGCTTATGAGGTTTGAACAGATTGGACTGACACATGTGGTTCTGGAGGTTATGACTGGATTACTGCCCTCTGTACTTCCTGTTGACTTCACAATACTGCAGTACTACTGTATATAACTAGTACTGAGAAAAGGAAAGAAAAACTGGACTTTGTAGCAGGAATATTCCTGACAGTTTGTTTATAAATCTGTCTTCAACAGGAGGGAAATGAACCGACAACCAACAGATGAGTCTTTGACTTTTCACTACTTTAAAGTATTTAAAGTATTTAAAGTAGTCAAAGCCTGTACTCTCAGCACCATGTAATGTCTGGACATTTTTTATTTTAGAATCTAAAAATGTAAATGTGGTTTTCAACCTCAGCCCTAGAAACTTCCCTGAGTAACACTGCCACCCTGTGGCCAGGAAAGACGATTTCCTTTTAACAAACGCTCTCTCTTCTGCACTTGATTTATTGATTTATTTTACTGTTCATTTTGAATCAGCCTGAGTTCATGTGTAATAATACCAGTGCAGTGACAGACCACGTGGTTTTACCTTGTACAGGTCCAGGGGCAGCAGCAGGAGGATCAACAGGTCACTCACAGCCATGCTGCTCAGGTACAGGTAGGTGGAGCTTCTCATGTGTGGGCGGAGCCAAACCACCAGAATAGTCAGAATGTTTCCCAAAAGGCCAAACAGCATCAGTGGAATGTAAATCACCGTCACACACACTACAGAAGAGAACGGTTTCTTAGGTTTCCAAACAGCATCAGTGGAATGTAAATCACTGTCACACACACTACAGAAGAGAAAGATTTCGTATAAAAAAACAATAATTATAATTATTAGTTGATTTTTAGATTTTGCAACAATGTTTGTTGTTGAATAATTTAAGTTATATATTCATAAAAAAGTCAGAGAAATCTTGAAACCATCAACAGTTTGTTCATGTTTACACTCTCCTGTGTGTACTGTGTGTACTGTGTGTACTGTGTGTACTGTAGTAACCGGTCCAGCCTACCCAGCTCGGTGAGTCCAAACTGACAGTCCTGGTCGAAGCAGTGTTCTTCTTGGAAGTCGGACGCCAGACCACAGTTCTGATGTTCACAGCCCACGTCGCTCATTTCCACCAGATCCATGATGGCACAGGGTGAGGCGGGGAGAGCAGCGGGGGAGAGGTGTGTGTGTGTGCGTGTGTGTCCCAGGTTACAGTGTGGAGGTGACGCACACTGATGGATTTCCTATGAAACCCAATCAAAGCTGATACTGAACAAGGACACAGTCAGAACAACAGGAAACTGCAGCCAAGACGCAAAGTGACACGAAACGAACGAAGAGAAACGCTGACGACAGGACGGTGAACTTTGACATCTCACAAACGTTTCCAATTAAAGGTTGGTTAAAACATTCTCTTTCTGTTTGTCAACGGACCAAAGGTTCACAGACAGAAACACCAGGTGAAGTGTTTTAATGTCAAAGTCAAGATGAAGGAAATGAAAACACATCATAAACATTGGTTTTAAAAAGAAAGATAAAGTAAAAATCAAATCAAATACTCACTGATCCCTGGAGCTGCTCCGTCTGCTGGAGCTGCACAAGCCAACTGTAGGGTCTCTCTCTCTGTCTCACTCTCTCACTCTCTTTAACTCCCTCTCTTTCTCGCTCTCTCTCCCTCACACACACACACGCACTTTGTCAAAATCAACAAAATCATTTGAAAACCTCATCTCATTGTCTTAGAGTCAACATTTATTTCAAATTTTTTATTCTTGAAATCAATCAATCGTTCAGAATCTTGAAATATTTGATTATAACTTGAAGGAATTCTTCAGTTTCAGTGACGAGGTCACGACACGTGGACGTCAAGAGAAGAAGGAAGTGGAAGAGCCTTTGATCCTTTGAAGTTGAACATCCTACAGAGGACGTTTTCTGGTGATGGAGCAGAAGAAGAAGGAGAAGGCTGAAAGTTGTATCAGAGAAGTTTCGAAGGAGAGAGAGAAGAGAGAGAGAGAAGATGACTGAGGGAGACGTTCACGGTGCCGGTGTCGTTCTGAAAGGACTGGCCCAATATCTGAACTTTCTCAATGAAGACAACAAGTCAACGAGAAAGAAGGCTCTGGAACAGATCAGGAAGGAGACTGTAGAGCGAGGACTTCCCAGCAGCGTCCTGCAGGAGGTCTTCTCTGTGTTCCTCAAACCTCTCGTCAAACGTCTGTCAGACCAGAATGAAGGCTGCAGGGAAGTGGCGATCGCGGTGGTCACAGAATTCATACGCTGCATCCCCAGACCAGAGGAGTCCCTTCACCTCCTTGTGCCGTGCCCGGCTCGGGGGGCCCGGGGGGGGGGGGGCCCGGGGGGACGGGGTTTTCCAAAAAAAAAATTCTAAAAAAAAAAAAATTTCTAAAAAAAAAAAAATT